AGAAATTAGGGGGGGGAGAAATTAGGAGGGGGCGTGAGAAAGAGAAATTGGGAGGAGGAGAAGGAAATTGGAGCGGGAGGAGAGATTGACATTCATCACATACACACAATGCACCCCTTGCACACAGAAAAACACACAATGCATTACACACACAGACACACATACAAAAGCAATGCAACCGTTACACACAATGCATCCCTTACACACACAGAAACACACAATGCATTCATTACACACACTCAATGCACCCCTTACACACATTCAATGCATCCCATACATACACAGAAACACACCTTGCAGCCCTTACACATACAAACACAGTTTCACACAATGCATTCCTTACACACATATCAGGACATCCCCTACACACTCCACCCCCTGTGAACAAACTCATTGGTGGAACATGAAGGTGGACCCTGGGACCCAGACCTTGAGCTGTGTAAAGGGCCCCCAAAAAATGGAGCTGCTTCCCGTTCTCCCAGAACATTGATTTTTGTGACCACGGTTACAAACAGCCTCCAGAGAGCCTGTTCTACACCAGACCAGTGGAGCCAGACTGCAGCTAGAGCCCATCATCATCCTCATCTGGTTGTAAGTAGGCAATCTAGTATATTATTCGTCGCACTAAGCTCTAATTTACCTCACATTAAAGAAACACTATAGTCCCCAGAACCACTTCAGCTTAATGTAGTGGTTCTGGTGTCTATAGCCTGTCCTGCAGGCCTTTTAATGTAAACACGGCGGCACTGCAGCACTGGCGTTAGTTAACATGGCAAATCATATGGGTGGGGCATTGTGATGTCACATGGGGGGGGCGGCAAACTTTACTTTTGCCTAGGCGGCAAAAATCCTTGCACCGGCCCTGGCTGGAGGGGGCGGTGTGAGCTGGCTGGCCCACAGTGTCCCATGGTAGTAGGGTGCCGCACGGAGGAAATGTGTATGTGTGACTGTCTGCCTGTGACTGTATGTGACTGTCTGCCTGTAACTGAGTGTGTAACTGTTTGTAACTGAGTGTGTGACTGTCTGCCTGTAAATGTGTGTGGGGGGCTGCAGGGATTTTGTAGAAGGGGGCGGGGGTTTTGTATTGGGACAGGAGTCTTTACAAATTGTAAAAAAAAAAAAAAAGAGAACCTTTAAAAAATTTTACAGGTTTTTTGGGGGGGGGTGCCAAGCACAGGATCCGCCCCGGGTGCCAAATGCTCTAGGTACGCCCCTGATCAGAAGCACCCATGATTTCAACAGAGTGTCTGATTCAAAGCTGTACAAATATACAAACAGTTTCAACAGTCACACCAATCTCCTTATCACCTGCATCACATGGCACAATTACTAGGCCCAAACACGCACACACAGGATCCTCACACACTCAACAATATCACGACGTCGCATACACAAGTAAAATCAAAAAGTCTCACCAAACACTATATACTCATCACGGTAACTATTAATCAAACCATACAACAATGAATCAACCTAAACTAAGCGACTACATAACATTTCAGCAAAATCGTCTTTACAGTCAGAGGTTATGATACGGTTAGCAAGTATTATACAGTTTAGACAATTATGGTTTTAATGTTACAAGGTCAGTTAGTAATAGTTAAAGTGTTACACATACAACGTTAAACAGTACTTTTTAGTATTTTTCATGCAGAATCAGTAGTTATGGTACCAGTCAGTGGTTATGGTACCGTACGCTATTTTACACTATACACACAATTTACATGTCCGCTAAACTGCAGAGCTCAAGCTTTCTAGCAGGACGTAAATTTTCACCAATTCCAACGTATTTTACAATCTTTACAACAAAACCAACTATTCTAACTAACTTGATCCAAGGATAAATCTGACTGCCATTCTGGGGTCAAGAAGGAATTTTTTTCCTAGCTTGTTGCAAAATTGTACTTCAAACTGGGTTTTTTGCCTTCTTTTGGATCAACAGTAAAAAACAAATGTGAGGTAGGCTGAACTTGATGGACGCAAGTCTCTTTTCAGCTATGTAACTATGTAACTAGCCAGCACCTCGCGGTCTAGTGAACAAAATATACAACAGAATTCAACTAGCCTTCGCTGCCTAGGCACCACGATCTAGTGGACGGAATTTACACCAGGATCCACTAGTCTATATATTCTATTTATGGTCTAGTGGCGGAATTTACAACAGGACACACTTAGCCAAGATAGTGAGACCTAGCAGACTAAATAAATATCACAATCTGCTTAGTCTGGTCGGTAAGCCCCTTATCTAAGGACTGAATTTACAACAAGATTCCACTTAGTCAAGCCAGGATACCGGTGTCCGGCTGAACATATATACACCAGAATTCAGCCTGACTCCAATCCTCCTATATTAAACGGGCTGGCTACAGAGCGTTTAATTTCCAATAAGCGGTGCGCCTTCGCTTCATCCCTTCATTGGAAAGGGGCAGTGGGGGGAGGCGGTCCGCCCTGGGTGCCATCATGTAAGGGGGTGCCACCAGGGCTGGCCAGGCTTGGTGTTCAGTGAGCTGTGTGGCTTCACCGGGTGCCATAGCAGCAGGGGCGCCGGGCAGCCGACACAGCTCACACGCGGGGGCTGGGAACAAGCTGGAGAGCTGCACAGAGATTTGGGGGCGGAGCCAGATCAGCCGTGGGGGCAGAGCCAATCCGGATGTGGGGGCGGAGCTAAATGCAGCCTCATACTGCTGCACACGGGGTGGGGGGGGCTGCTTCCCCAACTACAGCACAGAAGGGACTGAATCCCCTCCTCCTCCAGCCCATGGTTACTGTAAGTGAGAGAGTGTGGGCTGTGTGTGTGTGTAACTGTGATTGGGACTGTCTTTGACTCTGTGTGTGATTGTCTGCTTGTGTTTGTGTGTGACTGCCTGTGATTGTCTGTGTGATTGTATGTCTGTGTGACTCTGTGTGTGTGTGACTCTCTGACTGATTGTGTGTGTGTGTGACTGTCTGTGATTGTGTTGTGTACGTATGACTGTCTGCCTGTGATTGTGTGTGTCACTGTCTGTGTGTGTGACTGTCTGCCTGTGATTGTCTGTGTTACTCTGTGTGTGTGTCACTGTGTGTGTGTGACTGTCTGCCTGTGATTGTGGGGGTGTGTGTGTGTGTGTGTGACTGTCTGTGACTGTGTGTGTGTGTGACTGTCTGCCTGTGATTGTGTGTGACTGTCTGTGACTGTGTTGTGTGTATGTGTGACTGTCTGTGATTGTGTGTGTGACTGTCTGCCTGTGTGATTGCCTGCGTATTTGACTGTCTGCCTGTAACTGTGTGTGACTGTGTGTGGGACTGTGTGCATCTGACTGTGTCTGACGGTCTTCGCCCTGCAGTGAGCCGGCAGCCAGGATACGATGTCATCGCGGCCTCGGCGTCATTTCAGGGCGTGCGATGTGCAGAAAGAGCACAGAGATCCCAGCAGCAACCACTGACCACCAGGGACTGAGGATCCACTCCAGCCCTTCTAGAGCAAGGTAGGGAGGCTGGGTGGACCTCTTAATTATTAAATGTGTGTATGTATGTAATGTTTGTGTGTGTATGTGATTGTGTGTCTGTGATTGTATGTGTGTGGGTCAGTGATTGTGCTTGTGTATATCTGTGATTATGTGTGTGATTGTGTGTATCTCTGCGTATGTGTTTAGTAGATAGCTCCCTTATTTCCTGTCCTCAAATATTGCAATCCCACATATAGATAACAAATAAGGGATTTATCTACTAAACAACTGAAAATAAGAAAAGGGCTTTTTTTTATCCTTTAGCTGTTTAGTAGATCATTCCCTGAATTGGTGCCCGTATGTGAGATTTCCATATTTAAAGATACCAAATGAGGGTGCTGTTTAGCAGATAGCACCTTATTTGGTGTCCTTAAAAATGGCAATCCCACAAAGGATAGCAAATAGAGGAGTTATCTGCTAAACAAAGATTGAAATTAAGAGGTGTCAGTCAGCCCACAACAAGAAATCTGGGTGGCTAATGTGAATTATATGCAAATGTGTAGTCAGATGCCAGCATGCAGAACACAGCATGCTGGCATCAGACAGCCAATGGCAGCATATTACCCCATCCCCTAGTGAGAAGTTTTACTGCTCCACCTCCCCCTCCTGTTTTGACTGTGGTATCTTATGTGCCCCCCATATATATTGTTCCTAGAGTCGCCACGATGTCTGCATGTGTGTCAATGTGTATCTGTGTGTGACTGTGTTTGTGTGTGTATGTCCGTGTATGTGTATATGTGCAAACATCTAAAAATCTTGCCAACACTACACACAAATACACTCTTGAATTTCAACGTCAACACCACATACAAACCCCACCATTATATATAACCATACCACTGCATTCAAATACGACACAACACACAAATGCATGCTTGCATTCAAACGCCAACACTACAAACACACCGCTACATTCACTCACATATACTCCATACAAAAACATGCATACATTCAAAAACACAAACACTGCTTAGTGCTAAATACATTAAAACATTTTTTAGTTGTTTTTATATTTAAAGTTGAGGGGGGGAGCAAGGGAGGGTGCCAAAAATAGGACCCGCCCCGGGTGCCAAATGCTCTAGGTACGCCCCTGGAAAGGGGCAGTCAGATTACCGGTTACAGATACAAATTCAACCCCTTGTGGGTTCACCGTCTTACAGTCTTACCTTTAAGTTCCTGGACCTGGGTTCACACTCATCGACGGGACACCCCGGTACTCACTGCATAGAAGCCGATGATCTCCTGGACAACAAGCCAGTGGCACCGAGACGAAAGGAGGTCCACACAGAAGTCCAGGGGTGCAGCCGTGGAGGATTTGGTAAAAGATTACGTCTCAAATCTCTGCACAAGGTTCCGTGCGATAAGATTCCCGGCCAATACGCACCAGAAATGTTACCATAATCAATTGCAGAAGCCAAACACAGAGAGATGGAGGCAGGTCTTCAGGAAGTAAAAAGGTTCTTTATTCATAGCGATCGGGTCTCAGATGAACTCCTGTTCCAGAAATGTCTGAGAGACCCAGCACATGGGGACAGAGCTTTTTGTTAACAGCATATCCCCTGCCATACAGTATAACCTCTTCTATATTCCTCAGACCAATCAGCAAACAGGATATTCAGGATCACCTTATATGGGCAGACCACATGGTTCATCTGAGACAAAGGAATGTGCTTTCCACTTCTGCACATGCTCAGTACACTGATGACTCATCCAACTGTTTATAATCAGATACTAATTAGCATATGCCATGTGGAGATTTCGGCCTACTAAATTTTGACCGTGCTGGAATCCCATCACAAAATTATTTATATCATTTAAAACATCAAACTGACAAATCTAGTTAAGTTGCATGCAAAAGTAAGACTTCTAGTTTATAGAGAGCTGGTTTGCCCTTAAAGGGAAGAGTGGTTACTTATTTAATCGCGTTTGGCTGCAGGTAAATCTAAGACTTTTAATCTACAAGGAAATGATCTATTAACGATTTAAATTAAAGAGAGGTTATTCACCAAATTTTGCCTAGCTGCAAGCAAGAGGAAGAATCCTAATATATAAGGAGTGGCTCCATAAAGAGAGCAAAGTAAGAGGGGTTATTTTATAAGCGGCATAAATTAAGGCTAAAAAGGGAGCAAAATTCTCCCCTTCTGATATTTGTATTTTTCTATGTAAATCTGGTGAGAAAAACCTTTAAATATCCAAAGTAATATTAAAGGGGGAAAAGCAAGGAGAAATTAATCCAGAAGATAAAAGAAAAGAGCACTGCTTGTAGGATAAAAAAGGAGCATATCTCCCTGTCTTGTCCTGATGAATTCTTCCCTAGACATCGGATAATAAAGGTGAACCATCATTTCTGGACAGAATGGTGAATAAAAAAACACCATTTTTTTTAAATAAAAAAAAAGAGGAGAATCCTTCAAAAAACAAAAGAAGACTCTCTACATTCTTTCCTTCTTCTAAACAAACAGTCTAATCCCATGATACTAATGTCAGAACATAGCACTTCTAGTACTACAGATATCAGTGACTCTAACGAAATCGAAGCTCATAGCTCAAAGTCCAAAACCAACTGACCCACAATATGCATCGTAAGAATATATTAAACAATGTTTGGAAATGCAGCTAAGCCAAATTAAGGAAGAATTTAAAATCCATATGGGCGACCTAAAACAAAAAATGAAATAATCAAAGAAAATGAACAAAGTAGGGACTCTTTGCCTTATGGAGGATTCCTCCACTTGACCAACTCTGACCAGCAGAGGAGCAAAATGTGCTTCATTTCCGCTGGTCAGAGCAATTTTCCCATAATTCTTACCTTTCCTCTGTGTTCCCGCAATGCTTCCTGTCATTTTAGACGAAACTGTCGAATTGCATTCTAACTGAATGAGAACAGTATGTTTATTTCTTTTAGAACTCAATTCGGCATTTTGTTCGGATCGCAATTTCATTCGAATGAATGAAACGCCGATCCTATTCTTGCTGTGGCTGCATCTTGCAGCCGCTTAGTAGATAACTCCCTAATTCCCACAGTATCATGGAGTTATCTACTAAAAGGCTGAAAGACCTAAATTGGTCTTTCAGCTAACTTTACTAATACTAAGTAAAGATTACTTAGTGTTAGTAAATTCAGCCCCTACTCGCTATACCGCGAGATGGGGCATGTCTAGTAAACAGTGAGCAGCCTACTGTCCTCACCCCCACCCCTGGGTGGCGGGTGGGGGCCCTAATGATAATGAGGGGGGGGACCATAATGAGGGGAGGGGGGACCTACTGTCCTCCCCCCAGGCCCTCACCCCTGGGCGGTATGTGGGTGCCATAATGACAATGAGGGGGTGGACACCTACTGTCCTCCCTCCTCCGGTCCCTACCCCTGGGCGGCAGGTGGGGGCAATAAAGATAATGGGGGCGGGGCCTACTGTCCTCCCCACCCCTTGGTGGTGGGTGGGGGCCCTAAGTCAAATTCCCCCCCCCATCAAAGGTGACTAGGGAGCCCCTAGTAACCCACCCCCCAACCCAAATAAAAAGTCCCCTACCTACCACCCTCACCCTAAAAAATTGTGAGGAGGGAATAAAATAACTAACCTGTAAAGTAAAATTAAACTTACCATTCAACGTCTTCTTTTTTCTAAAATCTTCATTTTTCAGCCCCAAAAAAGGCCAAATAAAAAAAAACATCATAACCGTCGAACTTTAAATAAAAAATAAAAATCCAGAGC